AAGATAGAGGATATCACTAGTGTCCACCGCCTTCATCAATTCCATTGAGACATCAATGTACTGCTCAATGACGTCCTCTTTTCCCTGGACGTTAAGCTCAACAAGCTCATGTTGCAGGGCAGCAGTAAGAAAGTTTAGCTGTGGAATCTTCCCGGAAGTTTGTACCACTGCGTCCTGTGCTTAATAGAAATTATTCTGCGATTACAACGATTCAAATTCAACTTAACAGTAAGTAAATTAGAATAAATAGAAAACCGTTCAAGGATCATGTAGGCATATGAAAACTGGATAGCCTATGAAGTGGGGCTAGTTGCAGGGTCAACCGTCACGTTGAGAGATTCCAAAATCGGGACCTTTTCCAGAGGGGGTACCCCGCTTCTCTCAGACGTCCAGTGTCATTGAATCAGTCATCAATTGAGGCACCCCAACTCTACATCAAAACCCCTCTAAAACTACAGTCAAGCAGTGGACTGGTTCACAGACCCTCAAATACGACTTTTCGTCCTGGAAAAAAACGAAAAACGAAAACGATTCGCACCCATCTTTGGGAAATACCTAACTTCCTAAGGAGCGATCGGTCCAAGAGTGTTGGCTTATAAGGAAGCCAGATACGTATGGATTTTAGAATCCCCAGGAGAACGGTAACAGTTGTACATCTACCTCCGTAAGCTCCTACATTACGGAGTTTCCAAATGCTGAAGGTAGGGGAGAGGGTTAAATGTCTTTGAGGCCATGATTTACGTTTCGGGTAGTACATCGACTAATGCAGATAAGTAATGGACTAGGTAGATGTCTGTTAGTGAGGGGTAAAATAAAGAAATGATGCACAAAACAGAAGAAATACGAAGGAATATATCTGCATTATTGGCTATAAATAACGGTCTGGTGGGAAGGAACGCAAGCAGTTAAGCCGTTTTTTCTCCTTTCTTTTCCTTCTCCGTTTTTCCAACTTCGTGAGATCGGATACGTATGGCTCGAAAATTTGTAATATTTTTAGCTATAGGTACGCCACCGTCTGTATTCTGAATGGAAGCCGTATGCATAGTGCATCCTTAGGG